TAGGGCCAGTCCGTTTCTGGACACCTGATAATAGCAAAAAGTTGATTTTAGCATCAAATCGTAGAGCTCCATGTGTAATACAACGTACGAAAATTTTATTAAAATATACAGGGTGGTTTCAAAGTTATAACCCTAAACGTTAATTTCTAGGTACCCCTTTGACCCCCCATAACTCCGTTAGGGGGCACATTAGGAAAAAAAATTATAGGAAGGACTAGTTTTATTTTGACCTCCCCTATACACTCCCGAGAGATTAGGAGGTACTTACCGGACACCCTGTAAGTGTATTACAGATTATGACAACTAGTAACATCAAATAAATATTGGAGACATCTGGAATAAAAGCGATGAGACATAGATCAACTAATCTAATCTTTAACGAAATAAAATCAAATATCAAAATTTCTTATTACATACAAATGTCCATCAGGATCACAAATAACATTATAATAGGTGTTGTAAATATCTCGTAATTTAATAATATATTTTTTTATTTAATGATATAACTTCAATTGCTTTTGTATGTGCTGAACAAATTAATGAAATACTTGGTAATTCTGTAAAAATAAAATACATATCTTCGTCCATTTCTAGAATGTCTAAAATGTTGCCATATATTGATATAAATCGAATATACTAATCAAGACAGTACTATTTTTTTAAATATTGTGCCGCTTTTTTTAATCCATTTGTAACTTTGAATATTGCTAACACTGTTTGTTATTAAACATTAAACTTCGAGTAAAATAATTTAATACTAAATAATATGCTAAAAAAATAAAAATCACTGACATATTTTTCCTTAACATAAAGGAAAAAATTGAGTATGCTATTGTGTTCTATGGTGAAAATCCCACAAGAAACAATCGATTAATTTGACAAATGCAGTGTATATTGAAAATCAATCAAGTTACCCATACTTTGTACATAAACTAAGCCCGAAAAAAAAAGAACATGGAACCCGTATAGTATTATTTTTTCTGTATATTAGATTTTAGCCTATTCTCTGCAATACCACAAAATATATGTGCTATAAGTTACCAAGGAAATCTGTGGATATGTATATATGTTTTCAGCCACGAAAATTGTATAATTTCAAATATTTCGAATTTTCACCACCAAGAACGGCGGTGATAGCATTTTTAACAATAAGGCGATGTTTCGCATTGTATTAGCTATGTCCTGTCCAAATTTTGTTCGTGCAACTCTTTTGGAAATTGTTATTAAGAGGAAAAATGGTATAAAAATCGATTTTGTAGATTGCATAGAAAATTCCCTGGGCAAAATAAATAATTGTTTATAGAGTAATATGCTGAAAATTTTTAAAAAATTCTAAATGTTTATAAATGTGTAAAAGTAGGTATTTTTAGTATTGATCAATGTTTATTATGACAACAAGTATCTCCAAAAAATTGTGTGCCCTTTCTAAACCTCAATTTAAGCACACGGTACGCGAAAAACTTTTTGAAATTTTTTTAATTAACAATCCTGTCAATCGAAAACTACGGGATCGATTGTTGCAAAATTTTTAGGGTAGAATTGACATATGTTTTACTATTTGTTCACAAAGTTTCATCAATATTTATAAATATTTACTTATTTTAGAAATTGCTTCAAATATACATATGATTTTCTACTATTTTTCACCCATTGTTAATGCAAAATTCAAGATTTTTGATTTGCAGTTATTGTAGCTTTATAGAAAATCCTCAAATAAACAAAAAATAAAGAATGACTTTTTTATTTAGTGCTTACTTTCAATGTTACATGGAAAAATATGTCGAAAAACGGGTCAGATTTCGATCTTTTTGTATGTCTGTTGTTCCCCTGAATTTAGCAATGGTTGTTTGGAATAGGCAAACTCGGATTCTTATTCTACATAATATTTGGGATTTTTCTGACTTCAAACATAGTCTACTTTTACTGCTCTAGCGCCTGGACTATTACTGGAACCGTAAACACCTTTTACCCCTGCGCCTTTTTTTTGCTAAGCGTGATTCTAGGAAACGTTTTGTTCTATTTCCTGTTTAATTTAAAAATACCCGGTGTAATTACAAACTTGATGAACATCAACCATAAGTCGTTTATTTGAACTCACTTCATCTTGTCAAAAAGTCCGACAGACAAAAATTAGGTATTTAACATTATCCTAAACATTTCTTTAAATATCTTCACGATCCACATATTCGCTACAAATTTTACAAAGAAAAACACGAGTCTTTTTTGACGTAATCCGTATATACACAGCTGTTCAGACACTATCCAGACCTTGTTCTGTTTTTTTCCCGAAGTTTAAATGCTGTGGAATAAAAACGCAATGACATTCAAACGATGAATGAAATTTTACAGCCCGTATAAATGTTTAGCTTGATGAGAATAGTGTAATAATATGTAATAAGATACGATGCCTTATTATTGGTTGATGTAACTATAAACTTCTGAAATATTCACACATTGACTGAAAATTTCTAGTGAACACATTGGTTATTACTTTGTAAAAATACGAACGGACTCGCCTCTTATACAGGGTGTTTTTAACACATTGGCGGACTTAAAAAATTATTACTTTATTTTATGGGGAATTTAATTCTAAAACTTTTCTTACCGGTTAGTTTTCAAAAAAATTTGCCTCAGGCATAAATTTACTCTTCATCGAAAATTGAAGTCTACTCTATCCAATAACTGCTGATTATTTCTAATGAATGTGCATTTATTCGTAATGTAATGCTACAATCCTGCCCCCTCTATCCCGCATATGTCTGTTACCTCTGTAAAATTCTAGAGATACGTTGTATTAGGTTTTATTGAGGTATATGGTGCCGCATGAAAAGTTAAATTTCTCTTAAATGATATTTTAATGTATTGTTGCTTGCACCAAAACAAAATTGTTTTACACCAATAGGACGAGGTTAATGAAATCATGCTTTTTTTTGTTTTTAATGCTTTTGTAGTAGTCGGCCAAAAAATGTAAAAATTCTAAAACAGAGACCTGTTTATAGTTGAAATTTATAAAATTGGCTCTATTTTCAGTACACCCCATTATATTTTAGATTTTATGAAAATTCTTTAATTTAATACTAATTCTTTTCTTTAATTCTTTAATTCATAGTATTCTAGTTGCTTGTATCGACAAATTTTCATTCGAAAGCTTCTGTGATACCTACCAAACTGTTTTAAGTATTAAATTTATTTGACATTAATAATGTTATTAACTACAAAATTACAGCAAGATAAACTTCAGAAAGTTTTATAATCAAGTTTTAAGGTACATGTACTACAAATTACAACCTTAATTAAATTCTTGCTCTTTAGAAAAATACATTTGGTTTCAGATAAACCTCACGTAAAACTAATTAATTTGCAAACATCCCTCATAAAACTTTTATAAAATAAGCCAGATTAAACAGCATTTATAGATACGCAATGAAAACAATTCCAAATATGAACGAATTTCTTAACCAAGCAACATAAAGATACGATTGAATCAAATTGTCTGCATGAGTTAAATTTTAATTCTCCGCAGTGTTCTTCCCTCCGTTCTTCCTTTATGGCTACGGAATTACAATTACATGCTCGTTCGTGTGTAATTCACTAATATCAAAGAAATACAGATATTAAATTGCAAAAACAACTTAAAATGTTTGCAACTTGATTTCATTATTAATTGACAGAAATAGTAGTGTCAGTACTTATTACATTACTACGCATTCACAGAGGAATTTTTCTAATTTATTATATACAATAACATTTTTAGATAGGTACTTATAAAATGTCTAAGATCATAAGGTACTGCTTAAAGTTGTTTTCATCATATTAAATGTAATGTTATTGTACCAATGTATTTATATTTTTTGTAGACATTCCTAAACAGATTTCTGGTACTTGAGACAACCTCTGTATACTCTATCCACCTTGATAAAAAAATTGGTTACCCAAAAGCAAATAAAAGAAATTTAGACTTACCTTTCCTGTTTCATATCCATGTCTTCCTATCCTTTCATTCCTTCTCGTCCTTCCTCGCGCATCAGCGTTCGAATGCCTTTTTTTGTAGTGAGATCCACCTGTAAACATCATCTTGAACACTCAGGACAGGAAAATATCTTTACACCTAAATGCACTCCTGTTAAAAATATACAACTCGATTTTCAAATAAATCACTTTGATTTTGTTAATCATTGTTTGAAAACTGGAGTATCTAAACTTAAAAACACCTCACTGAATATGTCGAAATATTTGCCGTTTCCCAAACGCGACCACTTAAAATAAATCGTTAGTCATTTGTCAAAAAACAAAGTACACGGCAAACTTCGATGGTTGGTGGCAAATAATGCAAAAAAACATTTAGACTCAAATGCATTAAATTCTTGACATTCTTATCTATCTTTACCACTCACGTTCCTTGAAAATGTTAAATTAACTGAGCCGAGTTTTAAATTACGTGAACCACCGGTAGCAAAATGCACTACATTGATTTTTCCTTTTATTAAATTTACTCGGAGGATAACTTAAGTAAAATGACAACAAGTGAAGTCCACCTTTTAGCTAGTTCATTTTGACTGGAACTATGTGCTATATATGTTTATACCGAGACGTCGTGGCAAGCTTTTTATTTTTAGATTTTAGATATTCCTAACATTTAACAGAGAAACATAATAAAATATCCTCTTCACGCCTTATCATTCCAATGAAAATATTTTTCAATTTGTATCAGATAACTCATGTTCTATATGAACAAGACAAGCTTTAAATATTTACAGACCGTATAATTAATTCTCAAAATGCGGGCTGAGTTCAAATTTAAAAATAGCGTCTTATTTAAGTTTCCCGCACTCATCTAATTGACAGAATCGAGGATCTCTGTGTACTGGTCGGTAAAGTCGCTATCATTTTTCTTCTATTTGTTGTTGCAGGGCCAAGATGGTATGTTTTTAGATTTGATTTCAATATTTAAAGTTATTTAGGCCATCCATCGATATAATAACAAATTTTTAAGTGGTAGTGCTGCAACATTTTATTTGTGAAATAGTTATGAGAGTATCTTTAGATATGTGTACAATAAAAATTAAATATATAGGACCTAACCTCACAATAGACAACTTTTGAACTCGAGTTGTAGTGGTTCAATATCTGTAGTTTTTAGGTGAATTTTTATTGTGAACATATCTACGGTATGTGACATACGAAGAAATAAGGCCACTTTTATCTCTTTTTAGACGAAGGGTACGTCAAGTTTTGGTAAACGTCGTAATAAGACCCATACCCTTTGCAGACGGTGTGGTAGGTCTTCGTACCATATTCAGAAGTCACAGTGTGCCCAATGTGGATATCCTTCAGCCAAGTTACGTTCATGTAAGTAAAGAAGTGAATCAAGATGTAGTTTGTTTGTGTGCCGATAATATTTGATACATTTAAAGAATTAGTAACAGAAAGTGTTTTTCCATCAATAGAAAGCTTATCTTGTGACCTTTCTTAAGTGGTAAAAGTGGGAAAAATAACATGCAGGCATATAAGTTAAATATGCTTTGTAGGTTTCTTTTTGTGTTAATATAAAACGTTTCTTTTGCAGACAATTGGTCAGTTAAGGCCAAAAGGAGGAAGACCACTGGAACTGGTCGTCTCCGCCATTTAAAAATTGTACGTAGACGTTTCCGTAACGGTTTCCGTGAGGGTGGTAAGCCCATAAAGAAATCCTCGTAGATGTAATCTATTTGTAACCAATAAATTTGTTTAAAAAATCAAAACTGTTATGTTCATTTACAGAAATAAAAAAAATAAAAAGGTGCTTTGTCAAGTATAAAATATAAAAAATGTTTTTTTAATAGTGATAAAATAAAAAATGTAGGAAGCAGATGATTAGAAATACCAAATAAGCAGTGTTATATATAAGTTAATATTGTTGGCTACAGGGCGAGCCAGAACTGAAGTTTTGCTGCCATTACGGGAAAATGAAAAGAGCAAATCGGAAACAAGTGTAGATCTTTATGATTCCATCTTGGTAAGTTTAACATTTCAAGGGCTGCAATATCATCAAAATTATTCCCATTTCGTAAATATATCTTTACATAGTGAGTTTTTCAACAGCGTTCATTAAAAAAGTTTTTTTTATATCTCGAAAAGATACAGAAAAATTGCACACTCGTTCAATTAGTCTATTACTGATTTTATCAGTGTTGCCATGGAAAACAAAATAATGTCAGTGTTTGTATTCTTTATTTACATAAATCACTTGTCGATTGTTTTTGCCATTTATTTTTAATTTTTTGCAAATTTACTATTAAAAAGAATAAATCATGATGAAGTACATAATGATTCTGATTTTTGGCACTAATGAAAATAAACTTTTAAAAGTTTTTCATAGTAATGCTGACAAAATCAATAAGAGACTATTGAACAAGTATTTTTCTCTACACATATACATGAGAAAGAAATCAAACATTTTTGATTTGAGAATTTGAGGAAACAGATTTTTACATAATGTAAGAAATATATGTTTGCTTCCAGAATGGATTTTAATTTAAGTATATACCCATAATCATAATATCATGCCATACAGATCTACGTTTTTAGTTTCTTGTTTGCTCCTCCATTTTCCTGGACACCCTATACACCATTTTGATACATGTACATCTAGGTATCCGTTGAAAGGTTAAAAACTTCCAAACCTACTAGATCAATATATATTCATACTTCATAGTCAACTTTTGATTTCCTAATGGGGTCATATTAAGTTTATACAACCCTTGGAGCATATACTATGCTCTAAGATACAACCAATAATTTAATTAAGGCTAATAAAGTCGACTCAGTTTTATAATTATTCCAATTTAATCATAGTTGTCATGGCAAACAATTGAACATTTTGACATTTTTCTTTAAAAGTATCCAGAACTATCTTAATTTACAACTGTAAATGGGTGCTGGTGTCTTTTATTTATTAAAATATAAATAAAATTAACTGAGTGATTATTACAATTTTTAAAATTACAATAATCATTTTTGTGTAAGTACAATAAGCCCGAGGAAGAAATCAAGTAAGTACTCACCTAAAATTATTAATAAACAGTTCAATTTTTATTCATTTGCCATTTGAAAAGACAGTGCCAAAATAGGATGCAGAAATAGTTGAGATCTTATCTATCATGGCCATTTTTGCGTGTTGATCTTTGTCAAAAATGATGTTAGAACAAGACATTTGAAAAATTTTCTTTAAATAATTTCAATGTCAATGGTGTGTTTTCGAATTAATGTTTAATAGTTTATAATCACTTTTTAATTTTTAAGTTATTACTAAGTAGTCGTTTACTAGCGACCTATTGATGTTATAATTCAATGGTAGTTAAGATGTGCCATGAAATAATTGTTTTCCCACATCATCAATTAAGAAGATTTTTGGTATGGAAGAATATTATTTGATTTCATTCGATAGGATTTTTTTTAATTTGTTTGAATTAAAATAAAAGTTAAAATACAAGAACTAATAATAAAATACAGGGTGGTCCAGATTTTAATAGGCAAACTTCGGGAAAGTACTAAACGACAAAAATTAACATCACTTTGCTCTATGAACATAGGCGCAGAAAACTACCGTTTATGAGATACAGGGCGTTGAAATCAACAAAATTAAAACAATTTGTTTAAATATCTGGAAAACGGCTTTATCAAATTTATCCAAATTTGGTACACATTTTTTTTCAAATATTTTCCCTAGTTTTGTAAGCACATAGTCCTAATTCAAAGACCAGTGGCGGAGAAACAAGGATGTCATTTTCTTATCTAAAGTAAAACTTCTACGCCACTGAATTAACTGGTAATATGAATAAATTTTATAATAGTCTGAAACATTCCGCATGAAAAAACATTCTTTTATTATTATCGAAAAGTGAATGGTTTACGAATTATGAGACATATTATTCAAGTAAACAATGCGTTGAAATCGGGAAAAATAAAACAAATTTGGGTGGTCCACATTTTAATGGACAAACTTCGGGAAAGTTTTAAATAACAAAAATTAACATCACTTTGCTCTATGAACATAGGTGAAGAAAACTACCATTTATGAGATACAGGGCGTTGAAATTAACAAAAATTAAGTAATTTTTTTAATTAAGTATTGTGACGAACTTTCAGTGTGAGACCCGGATGTCCCACAAAAAGTCGCCGTCCGGGTAACAACAGTGGAGAAAGATACTCCAGGGGTCTTGATAAGAAAAGAAACCACTTTTCCCAATAGATGTTCTCCAGTTTATTTTAACAAACCCATAAATAAATAAATTCCCACTGACAATTCGGTGGCGGTCGGTACTAACATTCGGCGAGACGGAGTAGGCAAGACTACTTTTGACTCAGGTTGTACGGGATAACGGCGGGATAGGGGAAGTACTGCGAACAGGCGGGATATTGCCGACGCTCTGCCCTCAGACGGACGGATAGGGAGGATGCTGAGAACAGGCGGGATATTGCCGACGCTCTGCTCTCAGACGGACGGATAGGGAGGATGCTGAGAACAGGCGGGATATTGCCGACGCTCTGCTCTCAGACGGACGGATAGGGAGGAAGGAGCCTTGGTAGGATATTGCCGATACCAAGGGGGGAAGGCGGACTTACTTCGTGTTGAGGATATTGCCGATCAACACTACTGAATCTCAGGTGCCGGAGGTCGGCCTTTTATAGCCGGTTTGTGACGTAGATTAACAGTTCGTCGGATGCTAGTACGCAGACCCACAATAAATACAGAGTTCCACGCTTACATTACTAACATATGAAAAGTTAATAGTTCATCGGCTATTTAACGGATAAAATTAAGAAAGGTTCGTTACAGTATCTAGAAAACCGCATCATGATATGTCTCATAACATGTAAACCAATCACTTTTCGGCAAAAATGAAAGAGTGTTTTTTCATCCGGAATGTTTCAAAGCGTTGTAAAATGTACTCATATTACCAATTAATTCAGAGGCATAAAAGTTATACTTTAAATAAGGAAACAATATCATTGTTTCTCCGCCACTGGTTTTTGAATTTGGATTGTGTGCATACAGAACTAGCAGAAATATTCGAAAAAAAGTTTGTACCAAATTTGGATAAATTTGATGAAGCGATTTTCCAGATATTTAAACAATTTTTTTTATTTTAGATAATTTCAACGCCCTGTATCTCATAAACGGTGGCTTTCTGCGCCTATGTTCATAGAGCAAAGTGATGTTAATTTTTGTTGTTTAGTACTTTCCCGAAGTTTGTCTATTAAAATCTGGACCACCCTGTATATATTTTTAAATATTGATCGTTATATTTGTTGGCACATCTCATAAATATTTCAAATTTTGCAGTAAAAGCATAATACTCTTTTGCACTCTGTATATGCTGAAAATCTCAACGTTAATAGTGTAGTAGTGTTGTAATAAACTATGATTAAAAAGAAACTATAAAATCTGGTTAGCAATTTTAGAAACAGAAACAACTTTTGACTTTTTTTTAGTGGTGCATTAATTTTGATATTCACTAACTAATCCACTAAAGAAGAAAATGAAATACTAAAACATTTATTTTTCCAGACTTACATTAATATAAAAAGCAAACGTTTAAAAAAAGTTTAATATTTTGAACTTATATAATCGTGCCCCTCATCCTGACTCTTCAACAACTGCCGTTTAATTTCGAAAGCTATGACTCCTAAAGCCGTGCCAGTGTTTAAACTATCCACCTCATTACTCAGGGGAACATTTAACCGTACGCCTTGCAATTCCGCAGCCAATTCATACGACTCTGCGCTAATGCCTTCGGTTTCACCACCAATTATTAAAACGATGTGCCGGGCCGTACCGAAATCGACACCGTAATACGGCAATACTGGCACTGACTGCACCGTTTCCTCCAAATTTTGTACCTCGGAGTTGTCGTCGGAAACAGTGCTAACCTTTCTATTATCGGCAATGTAAATCATTGAATCTGGAGGTAATTCTTCTTTAACGTCGCTCCAACCTAACCGTCTAGTTATATGAAGTTTAAAGTGAGCACCGGATGCGCTTCGAAGCACTTTTGTATCCCAAACATTGACACATCCTGAAATCGATTAATTTTTGTAACAATGCAAACATAAATGAAGCAAAATTGATGTTATTGAATCTTTAAGTGATTAAGTTGATATACCTTTTGTTAAAATTACATTTTCGCATCCTACGCCACTACAGGTTCTCAACACTGCGCCTAAATTGTTTGGCTCTCGTATATTATCACAGATTACAGTCAGCGGGATAATATCGGTAGATTTAAAAGATTCTGTGTCAGGGATTTTGAAGATACCTAAAAACGAACAAGTCAAATTATAATTTTAATAATATCAGTTTGAAAAAGAGTCAATCACCCATAATTCCGGGGTTTGTTGCTAGATCAGACCATAACTGCATTTCCCTATAAGGCATTTTGTATAATTTTGCCCCTAATTTCGGTAAGAATGGTTTTATAAATTGGACTTCGTCAATTCTACTAAACAATATGTATTTCAATTTACATCCAGCATCTAATGCATCCTTGATTAACCTTTTACCTTCTAAAAGTATTAAATCCCTTTTGTCTTTCTCTTTTTTTGATTTTACTTCGACTAATATGGAACTTATTCTAGAATCATTATTTTTCATCTTAGTATATACGAAATTACCATCTTGATCTATAATCGTTTCCAACATATCTATAGCTTCTTTGTTAGATTTAGATTTAGTGACTTTTGATATTGAAAGGGGTTTTGTCTTTTTCCCAGTTTTAGTTTTATGTGGAGGTTTCTCTGAAATTGTTTCATTTTCAGATTTCAAGGAATTAATCCTGGATTGGTTCCAATTTATTTTTGTATTTTGTTCCTTTTCCGCAGTTTTTATCAATGGTTTCCGTATTTGAATATCCTTAGCTTCGTCGTATTCCTCTGCTGGTATTGCTCGAACTGGCCTTCGGTGACTCCATCTCGGTAGGTATCGAATTTGTTGGGACTGAAGTGGTACAAATCTCCTAATAAAATAAGGAAGTAAGGTAGACATACGTAGTAATATAAATTATACTGTGTCAAATATTCGCAAGATGTTATTCTGTAGTTCTGATTCTGAACAAAATAAATGAGGTTATATTATTAAATTTGACATGAAATTTGAAATTAAACTAACCTTAAAATTGATAGTGGGAGTATTCAATGAGAGAATGACGATTTCGATTATTCGATTACGATCGAGATTCAGAAATTTCAGAATAAAAAGAAAAGCAAATTTTCACCGGGACCTTTAAAGTATGACTTTAGGTATCTTGATTTTTTACTACTAGTGTTATCTAATATCTTTATTTTTATTATATGTGTTAATATTTAAAAATTGAAACGGAAGGGGGCATTCAAAGTATTTGAAGTATGGAGTGGAGTCTTCGAGCTTTATACTACTGGAGTGGCTATGGCTATAGCATGCCATTACGAAAAATGTGAATGTGTGTGCGAGAGAGACAGAAGATATCTCATTAAATGCTGTCTCATACTTCGCCTCAACGATGGGAGCCGTGCGGGAGTCAATGAGCACGAACATTCATTTCCAAGTAATCGCGTGCGTACTAGATTGAGATAGCATGTAGTGCGACACTGTCTGTCTCTCTCGCACACTAAGCCACACTTTTCGCAATGGCATACTATCTTCAGTACAGTAGTATATGCTCGAAGAGCGTAGTGAAGTCTACCAACACTCCATAATTTGAAGAAACTAAGAATACTTACTTTTCATCGTCACTCGTCAGTATTTACCAAGGACCAGTTTCCGTTTATTGTATAGCGAATTTTTAGGGAATATTGGGTAAGACAAAACCAGGGTCGCCAGTACTACTGGCAACCCTGGTTAAGACATTAATTAGTTTCGTTCAGCTTTGAAAGATGGAAGCACCCGTCCCGTACCTACTATTTGTGAAATAAATGATACAGAGAAATCGGAAAATAGTAAAATTTAAAATTAGTCAATAATATGAATGCTAAAAGGGTTCTTTATTTATGTTTGTGATGTTACGTTACAAGACAGGCTGGCTTAGTGTCCTATTAAAGTCAGTATTCTTTGTTTACAAACATATTTTCTTTATAATTACCTTTGTACCTAAATACGTATTATTAGGCGCCTTCAAATTTTTTAATTTGTTCATTTTTTAAAACGTGATTTTTTAGCACTGTATCCATTCGATTGCATTTCCAATAATGCTTTTAATTTAAACATTCAAAGTAGTTCTGAGCACTGCATATATTAATCATATAATGAAGAAAATTTCATACTTTTGCTTAATTCGAAAAAATGTACCTACCAATTGTACATTTTCTGAAAATTTGTTTGCTATTATGATAAAATTAAAATTGATCATCGAAAAAATTGTATTTAACTTGGCAGTAAAGCAGACTTAATACCTTGGCTGCTTTAATACTCGGCTGCACCTCGTCTATTAAATACCAGGCACAGCATTAAAGCTTGTACTTTACTGCCTAATTAAACAAATAACTATTAATAAAATTAAAAATATGTCGAAATATTATTAATGTTTGTGCATGTTTGTACATATCCGGATATTATCCATATATAGGATTGTCTTTTGTGAATTTGAGATGAAAGAACAAATGAAATCCATATAATAATTAAAAAAAAATTTATTACAGTAAAAGTACATTAAATATAAATAACTAATCCTAACAAAATCAGTCTCTTTTCAAAAAAATGAAAAAGTAAAAAAACCTGCACACATTACATTGCTAGTTTTGCGAGGGATCCGTAATAGTTCCCCAGAATATAGTAGCAAGAGTTGGCTCATGCCTGATGAAAAACGAAAACGGCCTGTCGAGAACAACCGTCTTCGAACCACCCATATAGTCAGTTATACCAGCTGTAACAGCAGCAGCCTCGGTTCCTTCTTCATTAATTGAGAAAATTATTTGCTGTATAATATCGGACACTACCAAATTTCTATTTTTAGCTGCTCCCGATAAGTAAATGTCAGTCGACGTTTCAGTCGTGAAGTTCTTGAATGTCTCCACGATATCAGTAATTCTATTAATGATACTGTTGCCATCTTCGGGGAATACGATATCCTTAGTTTGCTTGACAGCGCTTTTTCTGAACTGAGCGTATCTCTGTAAGGGCTCTAGCAGCCTCAAGCTGTTCGATAGCGATAGCTTTGGTATCTTGACCACCACGTCACGTAGTGGCGCTTTTGAAATCGTCGACAGGACTTCCGCAGGGTCTATCTGCTTTATAAACTGCTTCGAGTTATATTTGTAAGGGCTGTCGGCATTTGGAAACAAAATGTACATTCCCAACTCGTTGTTTTGGTAAGGGAGACATACCACTCTGTAATTGCTCGTTTCTGCGTACAGAATATTCTGTATGAGCCCTTGCATGTAAGTGGTTATAACGTTTGTGTTTTCATTGACATGGAAAACCTCGTCAACGTTTATCGTGTCTGAAAACGGCGTTTCCCATTTCGCTCGGAAGTAGATCGAGTTTAGGAATATCGATGATGTGGAGGGGCCAGGGGGGCTAGGAAGGATGGTTTTGATGAGTCCATTGGTGTGCGAGGATGCCCAGTTATTTATAACGCTAGAAAAAAAATTGGAGATTAATAACAAACATATGAAACAGTTGCTGAGTTTAATCTTAATACAGGGCGTCTCAATGTTCTGTATACGTGAAGCTACCAGAGATGCTTGGAGTCAAAATAACACGTTAAGTGAAAATTATGCATGTTTAAAATTGCTTGTTTAGCCACTTGATTAAAGTTGGTAAAAAAAATTTAAGTGTGAAAACTACGTCTCAGTCACCGCTTATTGTGGTTAGATGTCACTTTTTGACATAGTAACTTAAGTTACAATTGCATTTACAGAAAAAGGAAAAAATTCCCACTCATAAGCAAATACTCTTAATTATTTACGAGCAACTTCAGTTCTTGTTTATGCACGTCAAAAATCTTTATATGTTTTTTGTCGCATTTTTTGAGGCCTTGATGCTTGTAAAAGCAAATTTGAGATCCATGGCCAACTTTATGGGTAGGTAATAAAAAAAAACAGGAAAAGTACCGAAAGTTTAGGGCCGTCGTAACTTTTTTATTTTAAGAGATAGAGAAAACTTATTTTAATAAAATTTCATGGCAAAATTGATATCTTTCGCCTAATGCAAACGAATTTTTGAAGTATCGTATGTAATTTGATGCGCCCTCTACGCGGACAAAAAAAAATTATCATCGAAGCAGGGTGCGGATAAAACAATTTCTTATTTTTTCTTCTTTCTTATAGAAATTGTTTTAATAATGAACTTTTAAGCAACCACCATTATTCATGTCAATTAAAAAAAAATTCACTAATTTCGGATTTTCTTCAATCCACAAATTATAAACAGTATAATTTCGTATTAAAATAGTCCCAGAGGTTCAATCGCAATGGGCAACCTTATACTTTTTTAAATGTTTAGAAATAATCTATAATTTTAATTAGAAACCATTTAGAGGTTCTTAAATAGTAACTTGTTCGAGTTTGACGCGAAAATTGCATGTTTTAAACGGGTGTTTGCTACCGCGTCAATTCGTGACGTCATTTAGTGCGATCGGTAATCTAAAAAGTCACAGCAGAAGAATGACAGGGGCAGGACGAAAGACCTGACAACATGAAGTAACGAGAGTCTGCAGACAGCCAAATTCATTTTGTTTCGAGGCTCTCCGCACTTTCATTTCTTTAGAGTAGATTCCATGTCGGCGGTACGGAAAGTGTAGACTAGACGTAGACGGTAGGCAGCAGACGATCGAGAAGCAGGCTTTGTTTCAGTCGCACTAAATGACGTCACTATGCGTTCTTGATCACGTAGTAAAATTTAAACCTTTACATAATTTTTGACATCCATAATTAAGTCGTGGCATTAAAGAAATTAGTTATTTTTTTAACTGAATTATATTTTATTATCTAATCCTAAACTTTGCAATAATTTTTGGATTACAAGTTGCTGAACTCTAGGAGGAATTATTTTGTCTCTGTTTATTATCAATATCGATCATGTGTTAATAATTGGCAATAATACAATTAATTACGCGAACGTACATAAAAAAATTAAATAGTAGGGAAAAAAGTGCTCATACCTTTGTAATAAAACAAGAACTGAAGTTGTAAAAGTCTTCACCACAAAATAGGGGCACTGACAATACTGACCAGGATGTGTCTCGTAATTTATACTCGAATTGCAATTCGGCGAGTCCGGTATTGGTAAATTAGTCCGCCTGATGAATATACTAGTCCGCCTGATGTAGAATTGACGGCGGCGCGCTGGTTATCAAAGCAAACCTTTACTGGTCCACTAGGTCCTAAATAATTTTTTGTGTGGTACACGGATTTTTGTCGCTTTGCCAGTGCCGTGCAGAACATTGCTTGGCGGGGTATGTTGTTGGCATAATACGTATTATTATTTATTAGTTGATATTATTATTTGTTCATATCGTAACCAGTAAAGGGTAATAGTTATTAAAATAAATGCTATATGTAATTATCAGTGGCGGAAATATGGGAAACTCATTCGACTATTTGATAAAAAAATAGTATGGTGCTGTGCAAAATAATAATTGATTATATTTTCTGCCAAGCATGCCAATGGGAACAAAAAATACCTCATACATTTTGCCGATATCTGTGTCTGTTTTACGGCAAATTGGATTTCTCTGTTTCCTTTCAAATTGGCCAGATACTGTGCGCTAATGGATTTTTTAAATTCCCGTTAGAAATACTTCGGCTAGTTTCAACTAATTTAAATAAAAAATAAAGTAGCATCCTTCGAATCAATAATATTATTATTTGATTATTACAAGAACTTCAAGAGAATCATTAATTTCCAAGTAAAAGACAACTTATTGCGCTTTTTTCAATTTCTTGCGCAAAATTTTTGTTTGATGCTAGTAGACCTTAAGGATGAAGATGTGGATGCAATTATATAGGGCCGTACTATTTTTTTTTTTTATAAAATAGTCGAAGTAGTTTCTCATATCTCCGCCAATGGTAGCGCAAAAGTCTTGATATTGCAACATTTTATAGAAACTTGACCCGCTGTAACGTACACCAAATTTAGTTCAAATACCTCTATTATTTCAGAAGATATTTACAGTAAATGTATCTTGAAAACGGTCGACATTTTGAAATAAGTTTATATGACAAAGTACCAATAGTACCATTATTCTTCGTTTCACTATCTGCTCCGGAAGCTCATAGATTAAAACTGAGACACCCTGTAGATATCAAATTATACAGGGTGTCCGGTAAGTACCTCCTAATCTCTCGGGAGTGTATAGGGGAGGTCAAAATAAAACTAGTCCTTCCTATAATTTTTTTCCTAATGTGCCCCCTAACGGAGTTATGGGGGGTCAAAGGGGTACCTAGAAATTAACGTTTAGGGTTATAACTTTGAAACCACCCTGTATATTTTAATAAAATTTTCGTACGTTGTATTACACATGGAGCTCTACGATTTGATGCTAAAATCAACTTTTTGCTATTATCAGGTGTCCAGAAACGGACTGGCCCTATCACAATTTTTCTCAAAATTTTGACAGAAGTAATTTTATCAAACTGAAAATATTATTATTAGATACTCTGAAGGTTTTTCTTTAAAAATGGTACTCTTTATTTATTTCGAAAAAATGAACGGTTTGCGAGATAAATCGGTTTTGAAAAAAATTGGTAACAAATACAACAACAATTAAAATTTATTTTTTTTACATATTATTTCATGCATTTAATTTCTTTAACTTTATCAAGTCCAGAAATCTTTGAACGGGTTGGCTATACTTTATGAGCAAGTAGTGACCAATTAAAAATAACATTTGAAAAATAACTTACTTACAAGACATGCAACAAAGAACATTCAACAATGAACAAAGGTACCTAAATGTTACTTCGGTAGATGTTCAAAATGAGCACCCCGTACTTCAATGCACTTTCTAATCCTACGAATGTTTTCCCGGTGCACTTGAAATAATATTCCGTGATTATTGCGGAGATGGTCACAGTTCTGTGTTAGCCTCAGCAGAAGTTCCTCTCTACTATTTACGGGTGTTGAATAAACGTTATTTTTTAAATGACCCCACAGAAAAAAGTCTAATGGGTTTAGGTCGGGCGACCTAGGTGGCCATAATACAGGTCCGCCTCGACCTATCCATCGATCACCAAAAACATTCGTCAGATGTTGACGTACTAAACGATCAAAGTGGGGTGGTGCACCGTCATGCATGTACCACATTTCAGTTCTTATTTGAAGGGGCACTTCTTCTAACAAAATATTTAGATTTTCCTCTAAAAATTGCAAATAAAGAGCACCATTAAGTCTTTGCTCCAGAATAAATGGACCAATCAAATGATTCCCGATAATGCCAGCCCACACATTCACCATAAACCTTTGTTGGTAGCGAGTTTGAACTAAAGCGTGAGGGTTTTCTTCATCCCAGACATGTAGATTATGCGAATTAATTATGCCGTCTCTTGTAAAACCTGCTTCATCGGTGAACAAAATAGATGTACCAAAATTATGATTCCGAATATGATGCTGTAAAAACCAATTGGCGTATTGAAGTCTTTTTGGATAATCATCTGGAGACATAGCATGTACTTTTTGGATGTGGTACGGGTAAAGCAATTGTTCTTTCAGAGTTTCATGTACAGCCCATTTTGTAACATTGTTTTGCGCCGCAAGCTTCCTTATGCTATTTGAAGGATTATTAGCAACGTCTTCCAATATTTGTTCCTCTACATGAGGGTCTCGTACTCTCCTCGGGGCTCCTGCTCCACCACGGCGTGGCAAAAAGCTTCCTAAATAAAGGATTCGGAAGAAATTAGTTTCACTAACGTTTTTCACTTTTTTTTTTTACCTGTTTCTCTTAAACTACGATCAACTCTTTCAAAAGTTTTTGGACTCGGCAAATGTCGACCCGGAAACCTTTCCTCATAAAGTCTTCTTGCCTCCACGGAGTTGCATAATGCTTCCCCATAAATTAGGTGCATATCAGCATATTCTGCACAGGAATATTCTTCCATTTTTAAATGTTATTTCTAACGGCTTAAAACGAATACCACAATAAAATTGAATTTTTATTCTGTCACGCGCCTTTGACAAGTACTTTAAAATCAACAGGGTCTAACAACGAAAACAATAGAAAAGAACTCCATGGAGACAAGAGCAATAATAATTTGTAGATGTATTTTGGTCATAGATGTTGATTTTACAAGAAACGGCATTATTCATTCCCTTAATTCACCACCAGTAAATGTTTATGGTGAATCTGTAGGCTGGCACTAGCGGGAATGATTTTATTGTAAAAAAATAAATTTTAATTGTTGTTGTATTTGTTACCAATTTTTTTCAAAACCGATTTATCTCGCAAACCGTTCATTTTTTCGAAATAAATAAAGAGTACCATTTTTAAAGAAAAACCTTCAGAGTATCTAATAATAATATTTTCAGTTTGATAAAATTACTTCTGTCAAAATTTTGAGAAAAATTGTGATAGGGCCAGTCCGTTTCTGGACACCTGATAATAGCAAAAAGTTGATTTTAGCATCAAATCGTAGAGCTCCATGTGTAATACAACGTACGAAAATTTTATTAAAATATACAGGGTGGTTTCAAAGTTATAACCCTAAACGTTAATTTCTAGGTACACCTTTGACCCCCCATAACTCCGTTAGGGGGCACATTAGGAAAAAAAATTATATGAAGGACTAGTTTTATTTTGACTTCCCCTATACACTCCCGAGAAATTAGGAGGTACTTACCGGACACCCTGTATATGATTTGATTTGAATCAGCTTATAACCTTTCAAAGTTAAGTAAAAGTACAACAGCTAACATTAAAAATGCGTTAAATGAGTTTTTATGATTATTTTGATGATTGAAACAAATAAGTAGGTACATACCTTGAGGTATCCATGTTGAAATCTAAAGGTGTGACTTCGCTATCGTAAAACTGAATCAAGTTTTTCTTGAAGTAACTCCTCAACTCGATGTCTTTATTATAGAACAACGCATTGCTCTGCGTCAACATGAACTGCTCACCGGTCTTCCTTCTTTGCAATTTCTTTATCAGGCTGGATAACTGGAAGTGTATATGGGCGTAGGGCAAAGCGGTGCTTTCGTTTTTCCCGTTTCTGTTGTAGTAGTGTACACTGTAATGCTGGGGATGACCATGTAAAGACAAAAGGTCGTAAAGTTGGTCTCTAAATTTTCCCTCGGCGCCCAGTAGTAGCTGACTGACTATCACGGTGGCGCTTATCGGAGATACCACGAAGTTTGAGGGCGAGGATTCGTCCAAGAGGGCGTAGAGTCTAAGGCCTAGACCGAAGACCGCTTCCAGGGCAAGACCGTACTCGTCCATGTCCTTTTTTGGTATTATGTCCTGGAAGATGTTTTGCGATTGCGACTTGTGGAGATGAAAGAGCAACGCTAGGGGGAGCCATATAACTGTCTTCATTTTCTGAAATGATAAATTAATCTATAAGTACCTACGTATAGAGTTTGATACCGATTTTAAATTTTTGTAACTATTTTCTGTCGCTTTTGATTAAAAAATTAAAATATACCAAAAGAAAACCATAATAGTTTGAAGATACACATTTATATAACAGAATTAAACAAATAATCTTGAAATCATAGGCAAATTTTATTTAGAATGCAACAAATACATTTGTTCTTGCATGCCAAAACTTTAGGGAAACTCCTTAAGTTAGTAGAGATTTACATGAAATGAAATATGACCAAATGATATCTGTGATCGTTTAGAGGAGGAAGCCTCTATCTAAACATCACTGTCGTCCTCTAAAATCATAGTCATTTACCAAATATTTGTCAAATGTAAACCAGTCTTTACTTGCCTATAATAGTCGACAGTCATTTATAACGAGCGTTCAAATAAAAACGTGGTCAAGTTGGTTCTGAAAATTTGGACGTAGGGCGTAGCGTATAGCAAATGAACTTAAACGTCATCTGTCAAAGCGCTATATCGCCGCTATCAATTTGAATATTTTCGTTTTAAAAAGCGTTTAAAATGGTGTTTTCTCAAGAACAAAAAGTGTTTATCATAGAGTCCTACTTTAGAAATGGACGCAAGATTGATGGAATATGGAAGTATTCTATTGAGGAATGTTTCATAGAATTTCAAAATCAATTTCCCGGCGTTGTTGAGTACAAAATTTTTCAAAGTGCAGTTCAGCGTTGTGTTAATGTTTTTCGTGAAACGGGCAGTGTAACAAGAAAAGAAGGAAGCGGCCGACCTAAAAAGCGGACTGAAGAATTAAAAGAAAATGTCCAACAAATAATGGAAAATGCGCCAAGAACTTCTGTACGTGTTTTATCACAAATGGTGGGAGTATCAGTCGGTACCTGCCACACAGTGTTAAAAAAAGATTTGCGTTTGTTCTCCTATCGTTTAACTTGTCAGCAAGAACTTCATGAAGTTGATTTTCCGCGACGGGCTGTATTTTGTGAATGGTTTTTAAACAACTACGGTGAACTTCATAATATCACCTTTTTTTCTGATGAAGCCTGGTTTCATTTAAGTGGTTACGTAAACTCACAGAATATGAGAATGTGGTCTTCTGAAAAACCAGATAACTTTTTTGTCGAGGGCCCTCTACACGCTCAAAAAATTGGAGTTTGGTGTGCTCTCAATCGAAGGAGGATTTATGGACCTATTTTTTTTAATGGTACTCTTACTGCGCAAAGGTATAGAGAAGAAATTATCGCTCCTTTTGTTAACCAGCTGGAAGAAAACGAAATTACAAACTTTTACTTTCAACAAGATGGCGCAAGGGCACATACGGCAGGCGAGACGATGAATATGTTGAGGGAAGTTTTCCAAAATCGACTAATAAGTCTCAATGCTGAACATGAATTTCCACCGAGGTCATGTGATATTACGCCGTGTGATTTCTTTTTGTGGCCTTACCTTAAAAACACTATTTTTGAACTGCCTATTCCTGATTTAAACCATCTGCAGGCTCGACTTATAGACAAGATTCGTGAAATTAACAATACCCCGAGCATCTTAGAAAATGTCTTTAATTCTTTGAGGAACAGGTGTGAAAAGTGCTTGGAACAAGGAGGGGGACACTTTCAGCAGCTGCTTTAATTTATTGTTATAACAAGGAGGGGGACACTTTCCGCAGCTCCTTTAATTGTTTGTTATTGTTATCACGATTATTCTTTAAAATAAAGTTATATAGTCATTAACGTTATTGAAACTGACAGGTGGTATACAGCTCGTTGAGAAATGAGGTTAAGTTGGTCGCTATAAGCTACTCCCTACGTCCAATGTGTCAGAGCCAACTTCCACCACGTTTTTATTTGAACGCTCGTTATTTTTATCCACAATCACACCTTATAATCCGACTTTTATCCACGCATATGAATCGTCTAAAGTGATACTTTAGGCTTTTTTTCGCGACTGAATATTGGTGAATATCTGACTTGTAGTTACTATTTCTATCTCTTTTGATTTTAATTGTCATATGGTAGTTTAAATCTCTTCTTTCACTACACATACTACAACATACGACTTCACTCGCGAAAAAAAGCCTTTTGTCAACTAGAGGAATAAAGTAACTTTATTTCACTAGTAGAATAATGAAAAAATAATAAACCTATCATAAATCAAATTTAATTTACCTATTTACTTATTAACATTAACATTTACATTTATAGTAATAGACATTTCGTTTTTTGTTTTATAATATTTAACTTCCTTTCCGTTAATAACAACCCTTGTAGCATTGTTGCCATCATTTTCGGAACACATAACATCTGCCGAAGTTTGTGAAGAATTTGCACAAGTTATGGATGTCTCTTCTTGTAAGGAATAGCTATATTTTCCTCCTTTTCCTTTTCCTTGCAATATCAAGTTTGTTATAGATATAAAATCCTCAACATAACTTTCTGCTACTGAAGAGCTCTTCCATCCACCATGCCGTTTGATGGTTGAAAGTTGCTAAAGTGCGCCTCATACAATAGCCAGTTTTCCCTCCATTCGTTAAATTCGGCTAATACTTTTTCGTAATGTTCCCTGGATTTCGCTGGCAATAAATGGGAAATTGCTTCTTGAGCTTTTTCAAAAACAGCCACAGGAACACAATTACTTTCTTGCATTTTTACCATATTCAAATAGGACTGTTTATTAAATAATTGATAATAAACGACGTACCATAGTACCAGTACAAAATTGTCGTTATCTAATAAACGAAATTTTCTCTCTAGAATGCACATATTTGTTTGGTTCCCGGATGAAAAAATGTTTTTGCACCGTTCAATCTACAACTATGAAGATAAAACAAACACTTTTATACCAAGTTGAACCCTTTATTGTCACCCGCCTATGGCTATACCGGTTTAAAAACGCTAATGGACATGGATAACATTATTAAAGTTATCTTAATATTTTTTCCTATTTGCATAATTGATATGATATGTGAATAAATAATCATTCTATGTTAAAACATGAATCGTAATGTAGTTTTGTTTATTCATTGGGAGAATCCCCACATCCCGTAAACCGTTGTTTTCTTAACTGATTATCCTTGATAAAAAAAATGTGAAATAATTAAAACGATACCTATTACAGTTTATTCATGGCAATATTTTATTAAAAATAGGTGTTTACGTATTATATTGTATAATTAATTAATATAAACTTTTGAATTGACATACGAACATTATTTTCATTTTTATATTATTTAATGTAGCCAAAGAAATAATAAAATAAATATAAAGATAAAAAAGACTACTTCTTTTTGGCGTTTTTTATTAGTGTCTTTTATTGAATAATTTTGCTACACTGAAAGAAAAATAAATTAAATTATAACACTTATCGTTTTGGAAAATTCTTGTTCTCAAGACTTTTACTCGGAATGACCAAGTAGAGTTGTTAGATGAGGATTTTGTCTAAGCTAGATTTCTGATATCGAAGAACATTGTCTAAATTCATTTGAAATAGTATTTATACCTTTTTACTAGTGACGTCACCTACGCCAAATAATAGGCAACCCCATAGTACACTCTGTCATGAAGAATTTCTCAGTATTTTTACTAGATCGATTTTCGACTTTATGTACTTTGGACATAATTGCCAAAAAAAATAGCTTCTTTGTCATGACCTTAAATATCGCGATATTCTGGCAATATTAGAAATATTTAAGAAGTTTCAAACCCCAAGTGACACAATAAAGGAATTATAGAATTTATATATTTAAATTCATAGAATAATATTAACTTTTATAGCAGTTAATACATTAAAATTATATCAATGTTACTGAGCATGCGCATTAAAAATAATTTCATGTAAGTGAAGTAGCCTCGCAACAGGGTATCATTCAAGAAAGGTTTGGTTGTGGTTAAGTGGTTAAGAGTACGTCTATAATAAACCACTTGAAGAAAAAAGCACTCGATAAACACACTGACACACATCAAGAAAAAAAATAACAATACTTAGTAGAACCAGAAAATGCCAAAATTAAACAAAACAAGAGAAAATACGCTAATGATGACAGTGACAACATATCAACGCAAGGTCTCACCTGCGTATGAGGCTATTTTTTCCGAGCATGCGCATTAGGAATAACACGGCTAATGTTAAATTTTTACTTATTTAAATTTAGGAATATCCTTTTATATCGTTTTTTGTAAGTTTGAAGCACATTAGTGTATCTATTTTACGAAACACGTGTTGGTTATTCTTAATAGTATAGTCATTGAAGCTGAAAATCAGCTGTAACCTTCGAATTCTTTGAAACTGCATGGATTTGCATGAAAATTTAGAATAAGGCTCATCTTCGGCTCAAGTTCAATAGTGACATAAGCCCGATTGACGCTTTTTGTTTTTTTAGGGGTTAAAACTCCCCCTAAGTGAAAAAAATTGAAAAAATTCAGATTTAAGCATTTTATTGAGAAAAATTTTGTTCAATCACAAAGATTAAATATTGTTTCATGTTCTTGAACATGTTTTATGATATATTTGATCTTTTCGACCCTTAAAAACTACCCCTATGCAAAAAATGATAAAAAATTACATTTTAAAGATTTGGAATGATTAAATCGTGCAATTATTTAAAATAAAAGTTACTTTATAGCTAATAAAATAATTTTTCCCTTTCAACCCCTAAAAACNTCGCAACAGGGTATCATTCAAGAAAGGTTTGGTTGTGGTTAAGTGGTTAAGAGTACGTCTATAATAAACCACTTGAAGAAAAAAGCACTCGATAAACACACTGACACACATCAAGAAAAAAAATAACAATACTTAGTAGAACCAGAAAATGCCAAAATAAAACAAAACAAGAGAAAATACGCTAATGATGACAGTGACAACATATCAACGCAAGGTCTCACCTGCGTATGAGGCTATTCTTTCCGAGCATGCGCATTAGGAATAACGGCTAATGTTAAATTTTTACTTTATTTAAATTTAGGAATACTCTTTTATATCGTTTTTTTGTAAGTTCTAAGCACATTAGTGTATCTATTTTACGAAACACGTGTTGGTTATTCTTAATAGTACAGTGAAAATCAGCTGTAACCTTCGAATTCTTTGAAACTGCATGGATTTGCATGAAAATTTAGAATGAGCCTCATCTTAGGCTCAAGTTCAATAGTGACATAAGCCCGATTGACGCTTTTTGTTTTTTTAGGGGTAAAAACTCCCCCTAAGTGAAAAAAATTGAAAATATTAAGATTTAAGCATTTTATTGAGAAAAATCTTGTTCAAGCACAAAGATTAAATAATGTTCCATGTTCTCGAACATGTTTTATGATATATTTGATCTTTTCGACCCTTAAAAACTACCCCTATGCAAAAAATGATAAAAAATTACATTTTAAAGATTTGGAATGATTAAATCGTGCAATTATTTAAAATAAAAATTCCCTCATTGTTTATGAAAGAATTTGTATCTCATAACACTTTTCGACCCTTAAAAACTACCCCTATGCAAAAAATGATAAAAAATTACATTTTAAAGATTTGGAATGATTAAATCGTGCAATTATTTAAAATAAAAGTTACTTTATAGCTAATAAAATAATTTTTCCCTTTCAACCCCTAAAAACCAACCCTGTATTGACAAAAATGATAAAAAAATACTTTTTAAAAGCTTGAAATGCTTTAGCGATGCAATTATTTAAAATAAAAATTCCCTCATTGTTTATGAAAGAATTTGTATCTCATAACACTTTTCAACCCTTATAAATCACCCCTGTGCTAAAAAAATGATAAAAAATTACGTTTTAAATCTTGGAATGCTATAATTGTGCAATAATTTAAAATAAAAATTCCCTTAAGTATATTGTTTATGAAAGAATATTTTACTTTTGCCATTTTCAACTCTTATAAAAATGTAAAATATTTTTATTATAATCGATTTTTAAAAATCAATCAATCATAAAAAATTTGCTAAGCTGCATATAAATAATCACACTAAATTTTTTTACTTATTTTATTTGTATAATATAATATGTAATATATAAAAATGAAAAGGCCTATTTTGCTCCGAAAAAATGTAATTTGTTTTTTACCATAACTCAGCTAATTTTGAAGCTATAGTATCCTACAAAAAAGCATTTTAAAGATAATTTTAAGAGCTGTAAGATCGTTTGGATATAAAAAATCCTTCGTTTTTTAAGGGGAAAGGATCGAAGGGCTAAAGACAGGTCGTTTTTTATGCTATAGGAATAAAAAAATCAAAATATTTGTTGAAAAAAAGCTACAGTTTTGTTAGCTATCATTTTTACGTACCTTTCATAGTTTCAGAATTATTATATAAATAAGGCAATTTTTTTGAATAATGAAAAATACATTTTCAACTTTTATCGTACATTAAAAAAAATACGCATTCTAAACCGGTCTAACTTCAGGATCGTATGAAAAACACTAAAACAAAATTAATTGTAAAGAGTCTACGATTAATTTTAATTCATATGGAAATGGTACAGCGTTTACTGCTCATTTTTCCTTAAAAAATATGAGCAACCCATCTATTTTTGACGATAACTTCTTTAATTTTGCTCTAATTAACTTTTATAAGTGCTCATTTTGAAGGTTTTTTTGAGTACTACAAAAAACTCCAGGAGCGTTATACACGTAAAATTAATCCTTTTTCCGTTATTTGACGTTGAATACATCGATCGATTCGAGTATTCGAAAACAAGTCCCCTTCCACTAACCATATTTCGCATTGTATAGGACGTACAACACTTTTTAAAAAACGATTTTCTTTGTTTATGTATAAGCCACATTTTTGTTCATTACACTTTTTTTAATAAAATGCGTAGTTTTTAGAGTTATTCGCGAAAAAAGAATACTTTGAAAAAGTGTTTTTTTTTTCACTCAAAATTCCAAGTTATCAATCGTGAATAACTAAAAAACTGGATTTCTCGAAAAAAGCCTTCGAATATTTTTTGCTCAAAATTTGATTCTTTATCGATTCCCAGCGTTATTTTTGAAAAAAAATTCCATCCCCGAGAAGGGGTGTCAACCCCCAACAGGGTGGAAGTGTCAATCGGTGCTATGTCACTAATGTTCATTGACCTTTTCTCTAACTATCTGCCACATTTCAAGTTGATCGGTTCAGTTTCAAAGAATTCAGAGGTGAAAAGCTTCAATGACTGTACTATAACTACTAAATCCTTGTAAAAATAAATTAATTTGAAGGTGTTTATTTTTATAGTATCTATGTAAATAGTNCACTCAAAATTCCAAGTTTTCAATCGTGAATAACTAAAAAACTGTTGATCGAAAAAAGCCTTCGCATATTTTTTGCTCAAAATTTGATTCTTTATCGATTCCCAGCGTTATTTTTGAAAAAAAATTCCATCCCCGAGAAGGGGTGTCAACCCCCAACAGGGTGGAAGTGTCAATCGGTGCTATGTCACTAATGTTCATTGACCTTTTCTCTAACTATCTGCCACATTTCAAGTTGATCGGTTCAGTTTCAAAGAATTCAGAGGTGAAAAGCTTCAATGACTGTACTATAACTACTAAATCCTTGTAAAAATAAATTAATTTGAAGGTGTTTATTTTTATAGTATCTATGTAAATAGTACACAACAGTCAGATTCGGTCTGTACAATTTCAATTATGACAATTATTGCGGGTTGCCTAAATATGTGACGTTACACTAAAAGAGTCTATTAGGCTCAGTAGTAACTTAAGTGTAGGTACTTTAAAATAAATAGAAACTGACAAAAACGTCAAATATTGTGAGACATTTGTCCTTAGTCAATAATACATTTGTAAAGACAACCTCTTAACTGACTCTTTGGTATTTTTATTTATTTTTTTTATAGTAGCTTCAACTAATGTAATTTATTTTTCTTTCAGTGTATAGTGCAATACCCAATTAAATTATAGCAGTGCTAAAAACAGTAAATTTCAATTAAATGACTTAAATTCAAACAAAAACTTGCTTTGTCATGCTTGACAAATTTTACCTTGAATTTTGTATCGGATGAAGTTATATTATGTTGATGAATAAGCATTAATAATATTAAATACATTACGTAGGTTTACCACTATTTAAATGTCGGGGACTCCCCAACATGTGTTATTTATTATTAACGTTGCTTTTGTTTGTAACACATACATTAATAATATAGTCAAAATTTCAATGAAATGAAATCATTTACAACTTGATTCTTATTAAAAGATGTTCTAGTGGTAAAAAATAACTAAGTATGTAGCAGTTTTTCAATCTCAATAGTGTAAAAGACAAATTATTCAAACACTGCAAATATTTTCAGATGAACTATACATTGTTTGTGTTTGTGATTTGTTCAAATATTAATAGGTATTTTAGAAATACTTACATTAGCTTGTGTAAAAGTTTAAGTCGACGTCTGTCACCACCAACAGGTCACTATCTAGTGGTAAAAATGTGCTACCAAACTAAAGGAGCACAGCAAAGATAAATATCGAATTAAACAACCGGTTTTATGGGTCGGTCAACTCGATGGCTTATGACTAAAGGCGCAACAACTGTATTCGATAAGTTAATTAACGTATGTCTCATTTCACTGGCGATTTTTTGGTCAAACTGACTGTGCCCGCGTACGATTCCAATTTAAGTGGACTGGCGAGAAGCGATTTCAGTCTGCCGGAGAGTGGAAATCCCAATCGCGGAGCAGCCGTCAAAACGTAAAAACTGTTGCGTAGCTCATCCAAGTGGACAATCAACGGGGGGAATTCAGTCTGAATGCCGTGACGAAATTAAATTTCCTGGTCCAGTGATTTTCGTTTTTTTTTTGTGATATATTTCTCTGATACAGATTGCGGGTAAGCGATTAAGAAAATTTCGGAATTGGATCAATTGTACGGGGAATACCAACGAAAAGGAGCCATCCTTTAACAGTGTCGGACTGACAAGAAGAAAATAAACATTTTCTGTGTGTCTGTGTTATCAAATTGTATACAGGGCGTGTCTTAAGTAGAAGTCATAAATCCTGGTGCGTATTATGTGGCCAAAAATAAGGGTTTTTCGTTACATAAATGGGGTGTTAGGACAGCCATTGTCCAGCTTCAGCGTGCCAAAAATTAAAAAGAAAATCAGTCAGTCAGAATATGCCCCTGGATTTATGACACTGATTGACTGTAGAACGTAGAATATGTAATGGTTAGAGAGGTTACAATTCCGAAAAAAAAACAGGAAAAAGCATGAAAAAATCCGTTTTCCAAAGGAAAAAGTTGGAAAAATTAGATAAAATTGGGGCTGACTTCCAAAATTTGGAATACATGTAATGTATTTTCTTGAAATAAAATTTAATGAGTAAGAAAATAACAACAACATTTTTATATTCTGGATCTTAAACACAAATTAAGAAAAGGTAAATAAGTATAATATTTTATATAAAATGATAAAGATTCAACTTTTTCATGACTTACAACGAAAAAAAAAAACAAAATATCAGTTCTTTATAACTCAAAAAACAATAATTAAATATATTTTAACTTGAGCTTTAACCAAATTTCGACATAAAAGCAAACTAAAAAAGTGGATTCCAAAAAAAGTTATTATTTTGCAAATTCGTTTAGAAGAGCTTTTGTCTTTTGATGCTTCTGAATATTATGATTCCAAAACAACGTGCTCCTGACCATATTCAAAATATGTATTTTTTCCTCTGAAAACGAAGATTTGTTTAGGTATTAAAATAATTTTTAAAGGTTATTTGTTTTAAATAAACTACGCAACAAAACTTCTTATTTGAAACATTGAACTCATCTTTCCTAGGGCCGTGTCAGATTACCAAATTTTCACGACGAATTTGATAAAACNTTTCGGAATTGGATCAATTGTACGGGGAATACCAACGAAAAGGAGCCATCCTTTAACAGTGTCGGACTGACAAGAAGAAAATAAACATTTTCTGTGTGTCTGTGTTATCAAATTGTATACAGGGCGTTTCTTAAGTAGAAGTCATAAATCCTGGTGCGTATTATGTGGCCAAAAATAAGGGTTTTTCGTTATATAAATGGGGTGTTAGGACAGCCATTGTCCAGCTACAGCGGGCCAAAAATTAAAAAGAAAATCAGTCAGTCAGAATATGCCCCTGGATTTATGACACTGATTGACTGTAGAACGTAGAATATGTAATGGTTAGAGAGGTTACAATTCCGAAAAAAAAAAACAGGGAAAAGCAGGAAAAAATCCGTTTTCCAAAGGAAAAAGTTGGAAAAATTAGATAAAATTGGGGGCTGACTTCCAAAATTTGGAATACATTTAATGTATTTTCTTGAAATAAAATTCAATGAGTAAGAAAATAACAACAACATTTTTATATTCTGGATCTTAAACACAAATTAAGAAAAGGTAAATAAGTATAATATTTTATATAAAATGATAAAGATTCAACTTTTTCATGACTTACAACGAAAAAAAAAAACAAAATATCAGTTCTTTATAACTCAAAAAACAATAATTAAATATATTTTAACTTGAGCTTTAACCAAATTTCGACATAAAAGCAAACTAAAAAAGTGGATTCCAAAAAAAGTTATTATTTTGCAAATTCGTTTAGAAGAGCTTTTGTCTTTTGATGCTTCTGAATATTATGATTCCAAAACAACGTGCTCCTGACCATATTCAAAATATGTATTTTTTCCTCTGAAAACGAAGATTTGTTTAGGTATTAAAATAATTTTTAAAGGTTATTTGTTTTAAATAAACTACGCAACAAAACTTCTTATTTGAAACATTGAACTCATCTTTCCTAGGGCCGTGTCAGATTACCAAATTTTCACGACGAATTTGATAAAACCGTAAAACTGACCAAATTCTTGGCAAGACAGATGGAATTCAAATTAAATTCGGGCCATATTAGAGTATCTTTTATGTCCTATTTTATTATACTAAAAGTAAATTTTATTGTCATCAAGTTATTTTATCAAAGAAATTTGAACGAAAACACCTGAAAAAGTCTGCCTGGATTACAAATGCAATTTTAAGATCAATAAACCAAAAAAATCTAATGTTTCGAAATTCGCAAAAAAATCCACATAATTTAAATCTAGAAAAACAATATAAAGAATATAAAAACAAATTAACAAATATAATCAGAAAAGCAAAGGAAAATTATTATAATGAATTAATAAGCAAATACAAAAGCAATTGAAAAAATCTATGGAAAGTAGTTCAGAACATAACAAAGTCTAACTCAAAAAAACAACATAAACACTTGATAAATAGGTATAATGTTGGATTAACTGGTAACATAGATATGGCTGAGAAATTTAATAAAACCTTTTCTAATATAGGGAAAAAATTAGCACAAAAAATAATACCCAATAGATTGGTTGCTTTTAGAGGTGTTTATTCACTAAACTCGCTAGTTTTATTGACCACAGATCACCAAAAAGTCAAAATCCTTATACTAAATTTAAACATGAAAAAATCTCTTGGCATTGAGAATCTCAAATCAGAGTTAATTAAACATATTGTGAAGTTTGAGACTGAGCCAATAGTTATATTATAAATGAGTGCATGAAAACTGATACTTGGCCATCTGCATTTAAAAACTCTGTGGTTATTCCTACTTTTTAAAAAAGGAAATAGTGTCTACGTTATCAACTAACTATAGGCCAATTTCTTAATAACAAATTTTTGTAAAATATTTGAAACAATTATCAAAATAAGAAATCTTTTTTAAATAAATATAAGTTACTTTCACAAAAACAATATGGTTTTAAGGAAAATCCAAGATGCTATCATAACGCTCACAAATTATGTCTCCTCTGCTCTAGATAAAGGCCAGCCTTGCTTGTGCACTTTCATTAACCTTACCAAAGGCTTAGACACTGTCAGTCATCCTATGCTTCTAGAATCGCAAGAAAATATAGGAATTAGAGAAAATTGAAAACTGTTCTTGATTTGATTCAACAATTGCAAAAGGGTTTAACAAATGGTTATTATGGAAATTTCGTATTGAGTTTCGAGAAAAACTAGCTTCATGAAAAAACTTTTTTTGGTTTTCATTTTTTTACGTGCAAATGGTGCGTCGTACGAGAGTAAGTCTAGGGACCAAATTTGCTGTAAAATAAATGGAGATTTTAAAAATAATTTTAGTTTTTAGAAAAAGCAGTGGCGTACCATTTTTTCTTCAAAAATGTTTAGTTCAAACCTCGTACGGACGTCATTGACAAAGATTTTAAAACATTTTTTACATCAAACAATGCTCCTTAATGATTAATAGGTGTGTACAAAATTTCATAAAAATATCTGGAGTATAAGAAAATTATAATAAAAATGTAAATTTTTTCTTAAAACTGTAACACCCTCTAGCTCAAAAATTAAGAGGTTTAGGACATATGTTGATATTAAGTTTTCTTCTTAAAATGACTCAAGGATTTACACCCTTAAGTGTCGGCATTCAATTAATAAACACCCTGTATATTCAAGAGGAAAATTAAAATGTACGTTATTAGAAACTCCTCGGGAAAAAAGTAAGTACATATTTTTATTAATACAATTTTATTAATCCGAATTGACTAATTCCGTCAACATATACATACTTTTTTTTCTCCGTATATTTATGTATTTCTTTCCTGTTTTGTTTTACTATACATGTTTGATGTCTTCCTGTGATAGGCATTTTGGGATGTAAGTACATATTTTACTTTATGTTCTTGAAACAAGTGTAGACTTGTCAAGTATTGTGTATTCCTATAACTTTTAAAATTGTTTTACGTTTTTATATACTTTGTATTTTTCTACGAAACGACGTACTTTCAGCACTGGTTTTAGCTTCGGACATAAGAAAAAATCGCACGGAGTCAAGTCTGGCGAGTAAGGAGGGTGAAGGAGGACAGTAATCTGATATTTGGCATAAATGAAAATGCTGAGTGTGCGGACGCATTGTTATGATGCATTTTTTGTCATGTTGTTATTATTCAAACACATTGTCTATCTTTGTCATTTCGTACAAAATTTTACGTACAAAAATATGTTTTTTTTTGTCAATAAAATGATAGTAACGATCTGCACCTACCAAAGTAATAAAAAATCATTAAAATTCTAAAGCCATAAAGGCGTAATAATAGGTAAAAAATTGATTATAACTTTTTTATGTGCAGTGTTTCAAAAAATTAAACGTATTTAATGTTAAACATTATAAAAAAATCCTCGATATCATCAACCATTTCTGAGGAAAAATGTTCCTCTTTTCCGGACACCCTGTAGAAGTCAGCACCGACTTTACGTGACATAGCAGACGTTGGACAGGTGCCCTCTGATAAAATTTATAGCAGTGTAGCAACGATTTATTAGCTTTAAAAAAGTAAATTATATATTTTCATATAATAATTCTGGTTTTCAAATAAATGCGGTTTTAAATTAGCACTTAAATAATGAGTAATGACGCATTTCAAAATATACATATTTTTTCGCAAAAAATTTACATTTACGCAAAACTATTCCAAATTCAAATGATATTAACAGGAAACATTTTTTTAATGACTAGCCACATTAACCTAGGTATTTCTTCTTCAATTGTTGAACAAATTGTTTGTGACAAATATATGTACAAATATGCGGAAATATTTAAACACGCATTAACAATTTATTTTGTTGGCAACATCTCAAATGCTGTAACAATTTTTGTAGTAATTTCCA